CAGTGGACGAGGTTTCGAGGTTACGCAGTGAGGAACGAAGTGACGCAGTTGAGGACGTAGACGCAGGGCGAACTCGACTTATGAGCTCTGAACTCGAGGGGGGGAACGGATCTTGTATTTTTGGGGAGAACTACGACAGATTTTATACTACACAGGATGCTACGACTATTCGAGAGTGGCATACGAGTACAAGGGGCTTTGCATTGTTCCTCAAGAAGCTGCCTCACCGAGGGGCACATACCAAGTCCATCAGTAGAGTGACGTCATGCTGAATGCGGAGATGAAGGGCAACATATGGCCACTTCGGACCGGTAGCCGTCATGAAGGCATGCCGCGAGGTTCGATACCTAATCGGGAAAGACCGGCTACTTCGGTGTGGCTTGGAGCAAAGCGCGCGCTTGGCCGAGCGGCGTCAAGTGGCCCTATTGTTCGCCGAATGCGGAAGATGTTCCGAGATCTACGCACGAGGCATCGGGAAGACCGTGCCGAGCTTCGAGTAAGCGTCGCGCACCGTCGAAGGTGTCGAAGAGCGTCGAAGGCGAAATCGACCTGTTGGGAGACTGGGTCGAAGTGCCGGGCGGGATGCGAGTGCCGAAAAGAGGTGTATCGGGGCCCAGCGGGGCTCGGTGCCTATCAACGATAACACCAATCAGGTGGTTCTCAAACCAGAGCGCTTCCGCATCGCCTCCGCTAGGCGCGGTCACGCCTCGGTGACGGCCGATCAGTCGCTTCTGAAGCGCATCAGGGAATGTTCGGAGAAGGATCGGGAGGTGGCCGAGGCACTTGAAAAGGTGCAGGACCTCGGGCTGCCCCGGCTGCAAAGGGGTTTTGAGGAGTGGAATGCCGAACAAGGGCTCCTGCTGTTCCGCGGGTGCGTGTACGTCCCAAAGAATGCGGAGCTCCGGCGGGATATTGTCAAAATCCACCACGACTCGCCGATCGCCGGTCATGGCGGTCGTGCCAAAACCCTGGAGCTCGTGTCGCGGAACTACTGGTGGCCTGGGATGTCCAAGTTTGTCAATGAGTACGTAAGCACCTGCGACGTGTGCAACCGTACCAAGACATTCCCAGCCAAGCCCCAGGGCCCGCTGAAGCCGAACGAGATCCCCGAGCACCCGTGGCAGATCATCACGACCGATATGATCGTCGGCCTGCCGAAGTCTGATGGATTCGACTCGATCCTGGTTACCGCCGACCGCTTTACCAAGCAGGTCCACTTCTCGGCCTGTCATGAGACCCTGACGGCAGAAGGTGCGGCAGACCTGTACATACGCGATGTGTTCAAGCATCATGGGGCCCCGGCCAAGGTCATATCAGACCGAGGTCCCCAGTTCGCTTCGAAGTATCTCCATGCGGTGTACAAGGGTCTGGGAATCGAGCTGGCGCTGTCCACAGTGTTCCACCCTCAGACGGACGGCCAGACTGAGCGCTGGAATCAGGAGATCGAGCAGTACCTGCGTGCTTTCACAAGCCACAGGCAGGATGATTGGGCAAAGCAGTTACCGCTCGCGGAATTCGCATTGAACAACCGAGTTCACTCTGCGACCGGGCACTCCCCTTTCTTCCTGCATCAAGGGTACAATCCTGAGATCCAAGTGCGGATCAATCCAATGTCTGCGATGCCTGCGGCTGCTGATCAGCTCAAGATTCTGAAGGAGATTCGCGACGATACGCGCTCTGCGCTCGAGCTGTCGGCCGAGCGTATGAAGGTATACTACGATAAGCACGTGCAGGAGGCACCGGTCTTTGCACCGGGGGACAAGGTCTGGCTTGATGCCCGGAACCTTAAGCTGAAACAGCCAAGCAGGAAGTTCAGTCCCAAGCGCCTTGGACCATATGCCGTGCGGCGAAAGCTCGGAGACTTGGATTATGAATTAGTCCTGCCGAAGTCGGTGCCGGTGCACCCGGTATTCCATGTCTCCTTGCTGAGCAAGTACATGTGTAGCGATATCCCGGGCCGGGAACCGGAGGAGCCGCCTGCGATCGAGGTTGAGGGCGACGAGGAGTACGAGGTTGAGCGGATCAAGAATTCGAGGATCTTCCGGCGTCAGCTGCAGTACCTTGTCAAGTGGAAGGGTTATGACGACTCGCATACGTCATGGGAACCGGCACGCAATGTTGCCAATGCGCCGGCCCTCATAGCCGATTTCCACCAGAAGAATCCAAACGCCCCGCGTCGACTCAATGCTGCTACATTTGGTGGTCTCAACTTCCAGCCAATGCCTTCGCCGCTGACTGAAGCACGCTGCCGCTCTGGGTGGGAGATGGGCAAGGGTGCCTCGCATGAGGTCATGCGCCGTTGAGGGGGGGGTAATGTCACGAGTTGGCATGGCATCTAGCCGTTTTTTAATTTTTTCCTTTCCGCGGGCTCGAACCCGCGACCTCTGTACTACTTGCCTGATACGGACACGTCGTTATCTACTGTATGATAAGATTAGATGGGGCGGCAGCGCACGGCACAGCTCGGGCTCCGCTGACACAGCCGCCCTGACTCACCGGCCCCCGGGGCCACGTCGGCATGCTGTGCACGGACCAGCTGTGCACGGACCAACGCGCACAGCCTGCCCTTATCTACCCCTGTATATAAGCCGGCCTCTGCTGCCCTAGGGACCTCAGTTTCGACCTCTTGTCCCTAGGTCAGTAAGCCCTCATTTGTATTCCCTTTCTTACTTAACTAACTAATATATTACTTGTCCCTAGCCTTAGGTTTGAGCCTAGCTCACCATCGCTTCGGTGAGATAAGTCGAATGCCCCCAGCTTTTGGTTTTCCCCTGTCGCTCGACCCTAAGTCGCGACATTAAGTCGAAACTCCCCAACGCTGCTGGCATTCCAAAACAAAACACTCACCTTTCCTCTCCCATTAGGTCGGGTGGTGCGCACCCCTACTATACCCTACAATGCTTAGATAGCCTACGATACATCACCACCACTTAAGGAACAAACTTTTCGGTATCTGCACTTCAGTGGGCGATACTTGTCCTCACGGACGTGTGGCTTAGGTTCCTGCTGCATACTAGCCAAAAGCAGTACTGGGCCCCACGTGAACTGCAAACCTTAGTGTCTTCTCGGGCGCCGTAGGTGTAAGCTAGCTAGCATGGCCTTTCGTAGCACGCGCACCTCCCCTTCCTTCCCCCATCACCGTGGCTGACGAATTCTTCGACTGCTCTCGACTTGAGCACGCCTTCAACACCCAGGAGCAGGTCGACGTCTCTCGTGACGACCCAAACAGCAGCGGAGACAGAGCTCCTTTCTTCATCTGTAATCGGCAACCGTGCCCTAATCGCACTCCACGGTCCATCACTGCCGATGAAGGGTGCTACGTACCAATCCAATGAGTCCAGCACCCCAGTGGCCCTGCACTCTGGTACACTGGCACCTCGAGATCCACATCTTGCCATGTCACTCTTGCCCCGTCTCGACCCGCCTCCCCAGGCACCCGCATCTCCCAACCTGTCACCAGTACAAGTCAAGTGTGAGGAGATCCCCATCTCCCTCAAGGAACTGAGGCAGTCGCACAGCCTACAGCGACCCCTCAAGCGATCCCCCAGCTCTCCTTGGGGCCACAGTTGGAAAGACCTCCCAAGACCGGGCCCCGCGACACTCCACCGCATTCTTGGGGCGGCTCATTGTCAGTGGTCACCACCTCGACTTCAGTCTCTATCCTACGTCACCCCGCTTCCGGGTTTCCTCAATCGTCTTCACCGCCGTCGCCGCTGCGAGGCCGCTCAAGCACTCGTTCCTCACGAAGTCCGCCCGGTGGACAGTCACAACAGTTGCCTCCATCTGCGGGCAGTCCTTCGTCCCCCTCGTCGCCGATAATGTCCTCTCCCGCTGCTGTCCCTAATAAGGAGACGCTGAAGCTCCTCCTCTGTCATGAGTTCGCATATGATCAGCATATATACCTCCAGTCAGATGTCAAGCCAAGCTTGACATTGCACCCTTTTGGTGTAGAGGTTATGATGTGAGACCGGCGCATGCATGTAAATCCTTACATCCTCCTGCTCCGATATGACGGGAAGTCGGTGGTCGAATGCAACTGCTTCATCTCGCAGTTGCTCATCTACTGGACAATCAACACGGCCCTCTCTTTCCTCGAGCTGAAAATCCAGGTTGCCCTCAGTCTTCTTGATGGAGATGCACGAGCTTGGGCTACCCCCATCTTCTCCCAGCTTGCCTCCGTCCAAATCGGGATCCAGGGAGCGATGACCCCTTTGCTGACGAAGCAGCCTTCCTTAAAGCATTCAAGGCCCGCTTCGGCAATCTTGACGACGCCGCCACCGCACAAGTGGAGCTCACCAAGCTCTGCGCAGATAAAACCATGCGCGAGAAGCGCACCGCTGCCGAATTCTTGGCGCTGTTCAAGGGTCCGGCAGACCGCTCTGGGTATGGTAACCTGGAGCTCCGCAACAAATACCTGGGCGGCATCGCCTCCCAGGTCTACCGAAAGATTGAGCTCGAGACGTTCGCCACATGGTGAGAAGCCGACACGCGCGCCACCGCGGTTGAGCAGATCCTTGACGTTAGCCGGGCCCGTTGGCCTGAGCTGAACAACTTCTTCTCGGCCTGGGGTCGAGGACGCGGTGGGGCACGTGGTGGTGCACCCTCGTCACACGGAGCTTCGGCCAGCCTCAACGCGGCCGTCGGAAAAGGGGACTTCCCCGGCAGTTGTTTTGGCTGCGGGAAGCAAGGGTACCAACGTTTTGAGTGCCCCAACTGTAAGGACAAGCCTTACACAAAACGCGCCGACACGCGGGCTACGGTTGCCTCGGGTTCCACCCAGGTGGCGACAAGCGCCCCCATCGCTTCATCCTCGGCGAGTACAAGCGCTGCTTCAGCGAAATTGGAAAGTTCCGAGCTGGCGGACTTGATAGCACAGATGAAGTCAATGCGCGAGGAGCTTGAGCACTATTGGGCGATGAAGGAGGAGTCTTTTTAATCCGGTCCGCGCTTCGTGCCGCACGCGTCGGACCTCGTAATAACAATTTGTACAATGTATTGGCAACCGCGAATGTTTACGAGTTGGACCACGGGTCCCAGCATTTCCACATCCCAGTGCACCTCAAAGGAGAAAGACGGCACAAAGATATAGTTGCAATGGTGGACAGCGGAGCCACTACAAAGTTCATCAACAAGTGTTTCATCATGGAGAATCGAGTACGAATGCGGAAGTTAAAAGAGCCAATTCTGCTCTACAATATCGATGGGACGCTCAATAAAGACGGTAGCATCTTGGAAGTAGCTGTACTTCAGATGCAGATAGGAGATCATGTCGAAAAGACAGTGTTTATGGTCACGGACATAGGTCCAGAGGATGTGATCATTGGGTTGGATTGGCTACACGAGCACAACCCTGAAATCGATTGGGAGTCAGGCTCCCTCAAATTGTTGTGATGCCCAGAAATATGCAGTGCCAGGAAGACTGGCCGAATGGAGCAAGCGACGGTTGCGCATGATACGGGGGTCAGGCCCACGGTGCGCAGGCGTTCACCAAAGTCCAAACGGTCGGTCATAGGCACCTGCCGGAGCAAGGTGCTCCCGGACTTTGAACCCAAAGAAGATCTGGTAGAGGTCAAGTGGGATGAAGTTGACTTGATCGAGACCTGGGAGCAAGGTATCACGCTTCCCGGCGCCCCTCAGCTGTTCATTGCGGCTGGACATACGTACTCCTAGCTGTTCGCTGAGGAGGAGATCAAGAAGAAGGTCGTTAAGACTGCCGAGGAGTCGGTGCCCAAGCAGTACCACGAGGTTCTGAAAGTCTTCTCAAAGGAAGCTTCGGAATGGCTACCTGAAAGGAAGCTGTACGATCACGCGATTGAACTTGTGCCCGGCTATTCCACGTTCCATTCGAAGGTATACCCACTGTCAAACAACGAGCAGGAGGAACTAGACAAGTTCCTAAAGGAGCAACTGGCAAAGGGCTACATACGGGAATCGAAATTGCCCATCTCGTCCCCTTTCTTCTTCATCAAAAAGAAGGAAGGGACACTTCAACCTGTGCTGTCGCGACTTGGGGTCAAGCGACTGAGGAAAACCTAGAACTGGGGGCGTCCAACTAATTCTCACCGAAGCGATGGTGAGCAAAGCTCAAACCTAAGGCTAGGAACAAGATAATATATTAGTTAGTGAAGTAAGGAAAGGTACAAAGGAGGGCTTACTGACCTAGGGACAAGAGGTTGAAACTGAGGTCCCTAGGGCAGCAGAGGCCGGCTTATATACAGGGGTAGATAAGGGCAGGCTGTGTGCACTGGTTCGTGCGCAGCTGGTCCATGCACAGCATGCTGACGCAGCCCCAGGGGCCGGTGAGTCAGAGAGGCTGTGTTAGCGGAGCCCGAGCTGTGCCGCGCACTGCCGCCTCATGATGTGTCCGTATCAGGCAAGTAGTACAGAGGTTGCAGGTTCAAGCCCGCAAAAAGGAAAAAATTAAAAAACGGCTAGGCGCCATACCAACTCGTGACATTACCCCCCCCTCAACGGTGCATGACCTCATGCGAGGCGCCCTTGCCCATCTCCCACCCAGAGCGGCAGCGTGCTTCAGTCAGCGGCGAAGGCATTGGCTGAAAGTTGAGACCACCAAATGTAGCAGCGTTGAGGCGATGAGGGGTTTTTGGATTCTTCTGCTGGAAGTTGGCTATGAGGGCCGGCGCATTGGTGACGTTGCGCGCCAGTTCCCATGACGTATGCGAGTCGTCATAACCCTTCCACTTGACGAGGTACTGCAGCTGACGCCGGAAGATCCGCAAATCTTTGATCTGCTCAACCTCATACTCCTCATCGCCCTCAACCTCGATCGCAGGCGGCTCCTCCGGCTCCCGGCCCGGGATATCGCTACGCGTGTACTTGCTCAGCAAGGAGACATGGAACACCAGGTGCACCGGCACTGATTTCGGCAGGACTAATTCGTAATCCAAGTCTCCGAGCTTTTGTCGCACGGCATAAGGTCCAAGGCGCTTGGGACTGAGCTTCTTGCTCAGCTGTTTCAGCTTAAGGTTCCGGGCATCAAGCCAGACCTTGTCCCCCGGCGCAAAGACCGGTGCCTCCTGCACGTGCTTATTATAGTACACTTTCATGCGCTCGGCTGACAGCTCGAGCGCAGAGCGCGTGTCATCGCAAATCTCCTTTAGGATCTTAAGCCGATCAGCGGCAGCGGGCATTGCGGACATCGGATTGATCCGAACCTGGATCTCAGGATGGTACCCCTGATGCAGGAAGAAAGGGGAGTGCCCGGTCGCAGAGTGAACTCGGTTGTTCAGTGCGAATTTTGCGAGCGGCAACTGCTTCACCCAATCATCCTGCCTGTGGCTTATAAAAGCACGCAGGTACTGCTCAATTTCCTGGTTCCAGTGCTCAGTCTGGCCGTCCGTCTGAGGGTGGAACACTGTGGACAGCGCCAGCTCGATTCCCAGACCCTTGTACACCGCATGGAGATACTTCGAAGCGAACTGGGGACCTCGGTCTGATATGACCTTGGCCGGGGCCCCATGATGCTTGAACACATCGCGGATGTACAGATTTGCCACACCTTCTGCCGTCAGGGTCTCATGACAGGCCGAGAAGTGGACCTGCTTGGTAAAGCGGTTGGCGGTGACCAGGATTGAATCGAATCCATCAGACTTTGGCAAGCCGACGATCATATCGGTCGTGATGATCTGCCACGCGCGCTCGGGGATCTCATTTGGCTTCAGCGGACCCTATAGCTTGGCTGGGAATGTCTTGGTACGGTTGCACACGTCGCAGGTGCTTACGTACTCATTGACAAATTTAGACATCCCAGGCAACCAGTAATTCCGCAACACGAGCTCCAGGGTTTTGGCACGACCGCCATGTCCGGCAATCGGCGAGTCGTGGTGGATCTTGACTATATCCCGCCGGAGCTCCGCGTTCTTTGGGACATACACACACCCGCGGAACAGCAGGAGCCCTTGTTCGGCATTCCACTCCTCAAAACCCCCTTGCAGCCGGGGTGGCCCGAGGTCCTGCACCTTTTCAAGTGCTTCAGCCACTACGCGATCCTTCTCTGAACATTCCCTGATGCGTTTCAGGAGTGACTGATCGGCCGTCACCGAGGCATGGCCGCGCCGGGCAGAGGCGATGCGGAAGCGCTCTGGCTTGAGTACCACCTGATTGGTGTTATCATCCTCATCGCTGATCTAATGGTCTGATCGACGTGACAGGGCATCAGCCTTTCCATTCGACGTCCCGGCTTTGTGCGTGATGCGGAAGTCAAAGTGGGCTAGGAACAGTGACCAGCGTGCTTGGCAACACGTAAGGTGCTGGGACGTGCGCCAGTACTCGAGGTTCTTGTAATCGGTGACGATCTCGAACTGATTGGGTAGTCCCTCGAGATAATGGCGCCAATCATCCAGTGCTTCGATGATTGCAAGCATTTCCTTATCGTAGATCTCGTAGTTACGCTGGGCAGGGCCCATAGCGTGAGACCGGAAGGTGATAGGATGCCATTTGCCATCGTCCTGCTTCTGCATCAGTACGCCGCCCGTGGCATACCCTGAGGCATCGACTTCAATTCGCGTCTCCCAGTTAGGGTCGTACAAGGCCAAGACTGGAGTCGTCGTAAAAAGCCGTTTGAGTTCATCAAAGGCGTGCTGCTCCTCTTCGCCCCAATGCCATGGGTCATTCCCTGTGAGTCGGTCGAGTGGTTGTGAGATCTTAGCGAAGTCCTTAATGAAGCGGCGGTAAAAGTTGGAGAACCCCCGGAACTTCTGAATGTCTTTTTTGTTCCGGGGTACCAGCCACTCATTAATTCCTTTCAGCTTCGCGGGATCCATCGCCACCTCATCGCCACCGAACACATAGCCGACGTAGTCGACCTTGGAGACGTCCCACTCGCATTTCTCAGGCTTCAGGAATAGATCATTATCCTGAAGGCGGCGCAGAACCTCATGTGTGACCCTCTCATGTTCCTCCTTGTTGGTGGAGAAGATGAGTATATCGTCCAGGTACACGAGGATCTTTCCGCCGATGATGAGGTCATGGAAGATCTCGTTCATCAATGCCTGGAAAGTGGTGGGGGAGTTGGTGAGGCCAAAGAACATCACCAGGGGTTCATACAGCCCCCGGTTAGTCACAAAAGCCGCTTTCCACTTGTCACTGGCTTTGATCCGGATGTTGTTGTACCCCCATCGGACATCGAACTTCGTAAAGAGCGTAGCGCCACGGAGTTTATCTACCATCTCGGCGATCAGCGGCAAGGGGTAGCGATTTTTTACTGTGATCGCATTCAACCGGCAATAATCCTGTACAGGCCGAAGTGTCCCTTCCTTCTTTTTGATGAAGAAGAAGGGGGACGAGATGGGCAATTTCGATTCCCGTATGTAGCCCTTTGCCAGTTGCTCCTTTAGAAACTTGTCTAGTTCCTCCTGCTCGTTGTTCGACAGTGGGTATACCTTCGAATGGAACGTGGAATAGCCGGGCACAAGTTCAATCGCATGATCGTACAGCTTCCTTTCAGGTAGCCATTCCGAAGCTTCCTTTGAGAAGACTTTCAGAACCTCGTGGTACTGCTTGGGCACCGACTTCTCGGCAGTCTTAACGACCTTCTTCTTGATCTCCTCCTCAGCGAACAGCTGGGAGTACGTATGTCCAGCCGCGATGAACAGCTGAGGGGCGCCGGGAAGCGTGATACCTTGCTCCCAGGCTTCGATCAAGTCGGCCTCATCCCACTCTACTTCCGCCGGATCTTCTTCGGGTTCGAAGTCCGGGAGTACCTTACTCCTGCAAGCACCTATAACCAACCGTTTGGACTTTGGCAAATGCCTGCGTGCCGTGGGCCTAACCCCCGTATCACACGCAGTCGCTGCTTGCTCCATCCGGCCAGTCCTCCTGGCACTGCACATTTCAGGGCATCACAACAATTTGAGGGAGCCTTTTTCCCAATCAATTTCGGGGTTGTGCTCATGCAGCCAATCCAACCCAACAATC